TGTCCTCAAGTTTTTATTGCTAAATTTGGGCCAATGGTGAACAAAATGTGGGCGGTGTGTATGGTTGTGGTTTTGGCGTTGAACTTGTGGTGCAATATTGGGGCTAGAGCTGCACCACAAGTGCCTTGCTACTTCATATTTGGAGACTCTTTGGTCGATAATGGCAATAATAACCAGCTTCAGTCCTTAGCCAGAGCTGATTATTTGCCTTATGGGATCGACTTTGGTGGACCTACTGGAAGATTTTCCAACGGCAAAACCACTGTTGATGTTGTTGGTAAGCTCCCACCGCCCTTCTCTCTCTCTCTCTCCATAATATCATTTTCTGCTAACTTGTTAATGATCACGTAATCTCTTCAGTTGCCTCATCTAATCATGCTCTAGGAAGTAGTTAAGCGTTTTGGTAATGGGATTTTGAAACTAAGACTTCTCTGTGTGTCTTGGATTTTGGATGCATGCAGCCTTTATGATTATCATCTGCATTCTGAGGGACCATTTGTTAAAGTACCATGCCTCTCCTATTCATTTCTTTGAAAATAAAATAACAATAAAGACTGCTACAGTAGGTCTCAACCCGTCTGCCTTCCTCATTTATGACATTTAAGAGTGAAATTTATTTCTCTGAGCCTTTCATCTGTTGCTTTCTAAAAAACCCAGAAATCCCAAAAATAAACTACATGGTCACATAATTCAAGATCAGGAAAAGAAATCTGTGTAAAACGTAAAAAACCAAAACAGTAAAATTCAGCATAACTCTATATGATACATGTACTGATGATCAAGTGTCCTTCAAATTATCTGCAGCTGAGCTTTTGGGTTTTGATGATTATATTCCACCATATGCAACTGCTAGAGGCCAAGACATACTCAAAGGAGTAAACTTTGCATCTGCAGCTGCTGGGATTAGAGAGGAAACTGGACGTCAATTGGTAATTACAACTTTTTTCATGACACATATATTCACTAAAACATAATTATGCATGTGTTTATAATGTTAATTATATTCTAATCATGTTTTTGAATGTTGCAGGGAGGCCGGATTACATTTAGTGGTCAGGTAAAGAATTACCAGAACGTAGTGTCCCAAGTTGTAAACTTCCTTGGCGATGAGGACCAAGCTGCAAATTATCTGGGTAAATGCATATACTCAGTTGGGTTAGGCAGCAACGATTACCTCAACAACTATTTCATGCCACAATTTTACTCCACCGGCAACCAATTTACTCCCGAGGAATATGCTACTTCTCTTATCCAAGATTACAGTCAACAACTAAGGGTTAGTCTTTCTCCCCATTTAATTCATTTTTTGTGCATTTAGGTTCATCAAAAACATTTTTCATGGTTACATCTAACAGCTTATATTGCCTGATAATTTGATGAGAGAACATTTCTTATTAATCTCGTATGAATTTTGATAACTGTGAGCTCAAATCTAGCCCAAGTTTGAAATGGGCCTTAAGTTATTCTCTCACCAGGCCCATCTTTGAGTTGACATTTGGGCCTTCTTGGGGTCGAGTTCTATTTATGTATATATAGTTGTAGATGCATATGTATTTGGGTACTTGTTTCGTGTGCATGCATATATTATACATACATACATACATATATACCTATACTATACACAGCCAGTTCCCATTAGTTGGTTTTCTTTCTTTACAAGAATTATATTTTTAATTGTTGAATGCTGATTGGCGTGTGTTGTATAGATTTTGTACAATTATGGAGCAAGGAAGATTGTGTTGTTTGGAATTGGTCAAATAGGATGCAGTCCAAATGAATTGGCCCAAAATAGCCCAGATGGTGCGTCATGCGTAGAAAAAATTAACTCCGCAAACCAAATTTTCAATAGCAAGCTGAAGGCACTTGCCAATGAATTCAACACTAACCTATCAGATGCAAGAGTTATCTTCGTAGACTCTTATGGCATTTTCCAGGACATAATAACCAGCCCTGCACAATATGGTAAATACAAGGGCTAATTACAAAACCCCCTCTTTTATTCAACTTCAAAATACAACTGCTGTTTTATTTTGTGACATTTCTACCGTATTTGATCTTCTTCTTTTAGTTCATTCCGTTCAAATTAACGAAAAAGCGGTCACATAACCAGTTAAGTAATGAAGTAGCTTGGTCACATCTCGCTTTTTCGTTAATTTTTACAGAATCAATTAAAGGTACATTTGTCACAAAAACAAATATTACTTAAAACTTAGTGGTAATTTTTATTTTCACTTTTTAACTTTTAGGAGAACAATTATGTGACGCGATTGGAACGTTCTTTTTTTCTTTGTTTGTTTTGATTTCAGGATTTAGAGTTACAAACGCAGGGTGCTGTGGGGTAGGGAGGAACAATGGCCAAATTACATGTCTTCCTCTCCAAACTCCATGCCAAAATAGGAATGAGTATCTGTTTTGGGATGCATTTCATCCAACTGAGGCCGGAAACAACGTAGTAGCAAGGAGAGCATACAGCGCTGTTCGTGCCTCGGACGCTTACCCTGTTGACATTCGCCGGCTCGCTCTGCTTTAATCAAATCCTCCTCCTGCACATTTTGAATCAATGGTTGCAGTGACATATAATCATGCATGCACCATAAGATTCAAAAGAGAAAAATAACTTAGCTACTATATAAAAAAAAACATATATTATATATATCATGCATTACGTCATGGTATTCTTTGTTGCAGTGATCGTGTTTGGTCTTTAGAATTTTGAGATGTTCATCAAATTTGTGATCTTCTTCTTCTTGTGTACTGAAAGGTTTAAATTATATCAATACGAAAATGAGTTTGTTTGGCTGTGAATATGAGTTTGCAAGGACG